ATGATCAGAAATTTTAATATAAGTGAGTCAGTTAAAGCTAGACCACCATGGAAAACTTGGAAGCACTAGTTGGCTGTTTCGTCCTAGCATGGTACTCCTCAGCAGTGCGCACCCCCGATCCCACTTCACGAGATTAGAACACATGACCTATCGATCTGACGCGCGAGCGCTTAACCATTAGACCACTGAGTCGGTATTCAACGGTGTTAATGTCTAACTTTAACCAATCCACGAAATGTGCTCATTAGTGACTGGTTTCAAGAAGTATTTCCTGGAGTTCTAGTGGGAAGCAGTGATCAGTGGAATTCAACCAGGTCTGTTGTGAGATGGTAACTCACTGAAGACAATGATGGACGGTCGCGCAATTTCATGGATTAGTTGAAGTTGAACATTCACACCGTTGGATACCGGCTCACTTGCCTAGAGGTTAAGCGTTTGAGTCAAACCAAAGGTTCTGTATTCGAATCCCATCTGCGGATCATGAACTCACACTGTTGAATAGTCCGACAATAGGACGAAACGGCCTTCCAGTGCTTTCAGGTTTTCCATGGTGTCTAGCTTCATTTGACTCATTAATTCAACTATAAAATTACTAAAATTTTCACGAAACCCCCTTCTGATAAGAATATAAATTTGATCATTTAAACTTGAAGGTCTATAAGTAAATAAACAATTGATGATCGATTTTAATTAGTTTTGAAATTATGTTTCAATGCATTTCGGTACTGTAATCTTATTTCTATGAAAGTGAAGTAGATAGTAATTATATATTGATCTAAATTATTATTAGTTTATAATGTTTGTAACATGAACTATTCATAGTTGAATAACCAATAAAAAGCATTCAACAGATATTTTGTTCTATTATGGGATTTCTCAGTAATGCGAATCTTTCGACCGTAAATACTCACTAAAACTTTAGTAATCCCCACTTGAAATAAATCACTAGTAAGCCAATGATCATTACTCTAGTGTTGGGGACTTTTAACGAAACAGATATTTAATGCTTTCTAATTCCCAACAATTTTTCAACTCAATTTATGATGTAAATCATGGAATTGAATTATAAGTCTGAAATATGACAAAACACACGTCCTGTGTTACATTGCTAGCCACTATCCATCTTTACTTATGAAGCTTGAGACTTAAGGCAATATTGAGGTAATCCACACAGGATGCAGATATGTTAACAAGTGACTGATCAATTGCAGACCCAAACAACAATGGGTAGATATAAGGAAACAATACCAAGTGAATATTTGTTTTTTTTATGTGTTTTTATTTTTATTTAATGTAACTAACAGATTCTATGTTATTCTCAATGTAACATAAGTCACAAATATGAGATAAATGTAAGAGAGTAATATTCCCTAATCAATCCAAACCCAAGGTAAAAACATTCTTCAATATACAATTAATGATAGTGTAGGGTCTCTCAAACAATTTATATATTCTTGTTTACTAATACGTTTTCCAAAAGTTCAATTGTATTTAGGTCTACGTCTTGTATATGTAACACCAGTATAATTTCTTTGAGATCACGAATCGATTTAATGTAAATGACCGTTAAAAACTTACAAGCACTAGATAGCTGTTTTATCCTAGGATGAGACTATTCGGCATTGTGTATCCACAACCGCAAAGCAAGAAATCCAACCAGTGAACTTTAGTCTAGATAGCTAAGCCAGGATCTAGTAGTGTGAGACAGAAACTGCTGAGTTCGATTTCTGAATGCGGAGTTGTGAATGAGGGTTGTTGGGAAGTCTCCTACTATAAGGAAACAGCCGTCTGGTGCATCCTGATTTCTATTGGTCGTTCAAGATTAATGTACGATATGATCTGTGAAAGAACGATGTGGAATTAAATCCGTTTCTTAGAAATTAAACAGGAAAAAGATATATATAAAGGGAGCTTAAGAGTAAATGTATATTATATATATATATTTTTTTTCGTACTGCATTGTTTGTTATCATGTTAGGAGTAACTAGCATCAAAGAACGACTCAATTTTAAAAACTCATCACAATTACTTTTCGGAATAATAAAACAAGCACGCTTCACATTGCATTTCTAATAGGAAGTTGTATTCTAAAACATCTAACGAATAAAGATTTTGATACTACCTTGCGAGTAATAAATAGACAGAATAACGGTAAACTCTTATATGACATAGAACCAGTCACTATTCTTCATCTCAAATCGAACTTCTGTATAAAAAAGGCACTTTAAATTCATTTGGCATTCTTATAGAGACGAATTCACTTGCCTTCTTTTTCTCTCATTTTTCAAACAGCCTGTATTCAAAGGTGGATAATGGCTAGCAGTGGAATTCAGGACGTGTGTTTCGTCTTATTTGAGACTCGTCATTTAGATGTATCTGCATTTCACAGTTATTGTTCAATCCGGCCACTATTCATCTTTGCTTACAATTCTTGTGACTTAAAGCAATATCGAAGCAATCCGCACAGGGTGCATATATGCAAATAATTGACTAATCAATTGCAGTCTTAAACCTCGATGGAAAGATTCAAACAACCAAATACAAGAATGAGTTCATTTCATTTTAAAAACATTGCTGTTCTTGATCAGTTTGAAATTTATCGTCTTTTTCTTCTTGAATATATAACCTCTGTAAACATTCATCCACTTTTGTTGAATCTCAACCATACTTCCATTGCTCAACTTAGTCATATTTCTCTTTGAAATTTATATTTATTACGATTAGTTTTATCACTTAAATGTTTGATTCTGTACCAATCTAATCATTCAAGTAATTTTCATCTTCCCATTATTATTATGATGATGAAGAGGGTAAAAATGAAGACTTAAGAAGACGAACATGAACTTGTCATCAGCTGAAGACAACCTGTCATATTTAAAAAATCATAATTACAAAATGGATTGTAATTACTTATGTGAAAGAGTTTGGTAAAAAGTTGTGATGATCACACACCAGTATAGTGTAACAAGGATGTAAACAAATTTAATAGACAAAATAAAATGTTGTAAATGTATGTGAAAAATCTATTTACAACCTTGATACTTACAAAGACCAAAGGGCTAAAAACAAATGGTTATATAATGAACAAACACTAATGATAAGTAAGAATAGGTTCTTGTTGAAATATACTGTTGTGAGTGGAATGTAGCCTTAAATTAAACTCTTCTGTATCAATGATTTCAACTCATTCTTAAATCTTACAGGTTTGTAAGCAGCTGATCTCAAAACAAATGTCATCCAAAAACTATAGACGAAATTTGAAATAAAAACGTTAAAACAATTTTCTAGTAGGAACAAAAACTTGAAGAACTACTACAACCATCATCAAAAAGATACATGCACCACTATGGAAGACCTAGAAACACTGGATGACCGTTTCATCCCAGTGTGGGACTCCCCAGTTGGGCGCATCAATGGTCCTGCCGTGCAAGATTCGAACCCAGGACCTATCGATCTCATACGTGAACGCTTAACCTGTAAATCACTGAGCTGGCATTCAACGATGCTGATGTCTAGGTTCAAACAGTCCAAATCTTCATTAAAATGAACCATAATATCAAAGACTTTGTAAAAAAGAAGTAACAATTTCTATCAATATTTCTTTTTCTGGTTGTCGGTATAATGAATTAACTAACTACTCTACACTCTAAATTAAATTATCACTATATGAAACTAATTCAGTTTACCTGAATTAGGATACCATTTGCATAACTAGAATAAATGAATAAATAAATTGGTTAACTGTTATATTTTGTAGTAAACAGTAAAACTTTATTCAACACTGTATAGATTGTTTATTTAAAAGTAACCAATTAAAGATTCATTTCCAAGGGCATTGGACATATTTAAGTTAAAATTTAGTTTCCAACCATTGAATAACCATATTTATTTTGTTAAATTCAAGATAAAATATCTGGATGAAATAATTGTCTACTAAGCAAAGATGGATAGTGGTTAACGGTGGAATCTAGGACATGTGTTTCATCCTATTTGGGACTCATCAGTTGAATGTGCCTACATCCCAGTGTTGGTGTTCACTCCGGGACTTGAATCTATATTTGCTTTAGAAAGCTTGTGACTGAAGGTTATATCGAGGCGATTTGTACAGGATGCACATATGCTAATATGAGATTGATCATTTGCAGTCCTAAATAACAATCGAAAGATACAAGTTAAACAACACTAAGTGAATTTAATTTTATACTAGTTTAAATTTGCTGAATTTTGTTAAAGAAGCTTTATTACTTCTTATTGTAAACTCATTACAATGTAGAAAAATAACTTAAATAATAACGTTCGTTTAAATATGACCGAATAGTTTCATAGTATTTGGGCGCTGAGTTGATGTATGACATTAAAGAGGAAGAATGTATTTGTAAAATCGTAGCAAAAGAATTTGAACTAAATCCAACGTTTTCCTTAGCAATCTAGTCCAAGCTATTTATATTCGATAATTTTGATGTTCCTTGAAAAAAACGTGAACGAGATTATCAAGCGAAATGTTGAATTGTCTTAAATTGATGTCAGACACTATCACCATTGTATGCCGGCTCAGTAGTCCAGTAGGTTAGGCGTTCGCGTGCGAGACCGAGGGCCCTGGGTTCGAATCTCGCGAGGCGGGATCGTGGATGCGCACTGTTGAGGAGTCCCACAACAGAACAAAACGGCCGTCCTGTGCTCCCAGGTTTCCAACGGTGATCTAACATCAATCGGTTCATGATCTCAATCAAAAACTTAACAATCTCCACAACCCCTATACTAGTAATCAAATTCTTTCGTTGAGATTTTAAAAATACATTCTTCTTCTTTAAAACAAAATAACTTTCTTAATCATTATGAATGAACAAATGATGATTACACAATATGATCTATATGATGATATGAAATTAAAATCGCCTATCAACTAAAACAAGAAAAATAAAAAAACACAATAATAACCTAAAAAATGGAAGATCAAAGCCATTTATTACAACAAAAAAGAAGAAGATTCATTAACTTACTAAATAACACTAGACGACTGTACATAAACATGATTAAGTAATTCCTTCAATATTTTTTGTATTTTATTGTTACTATGATGGTTCGCATCTTAGAAAATGATTCAGTAATTATGTTTTTTTTTTGTTGAATTTATTTCCTTTAAAAACTTCCATTCTTATTTAAATATATAAAATTAATAAGTGAACTCATAATAAGTATGATCGGAATTTTTTGAACCGTAAAAAAAAAAATAATAAAAATCTAACCAATCATATTTCACATGTGCTTATAAATAAAAAATAGACAAACATTATTTTGATTGGTGGAAAATAAACTCATATATATATATATATATATATATATATATATATATATATATATATAACCTCCCTGGACAGGATTGGATGAATAGTGTTGGTTGACGGCTTGTGCTCCTCCACGAGGAGTAACAGACGTAAATAATGTATGCAACTTTTCATTAAGTTTGTTTGTTTTTTCTGATAAGCTAAATACAAAGAAACCACTATGGTATGATATATTGAGTGTATTTATTCCGTTTCATATCACTTAGTATGGAAGTTTAAAATGATTCAATGTATAGATGAACAGTTTTTTTTATTTGTGAAAATATTACAATCAATTGTAAGTTTCTTAAAAAAGGTGAATTATAAAGAATTTTACACAAGTGAAGCTATCAATGACTTATAAAACAGTATTTCTATTGTTTACATCATGAATGTTTTAGTCACAGCTATGAGTAATGGTTTTAATTCGTTTACTAATACTCATAGTGTTGTGACTTTAAGCCCAGCTAATTATCATGTGATTTATTCGCCAATCGAAATGCAACTTATACAATCTCAGTATTGTGCCAAACTAATAACGTTCGACCCGGTATTGATTCTTTGTTCTCCTAGCCTTGCCAGTTGAGTCCAGAACGTCAACAGTAGCTTTCGTTATGTAAATCATTTATCACAAACATACTTGGTTTATATACCAGCCAAACAGACCTCACCACACTATGAAATAAGAAATAACATTTATACAATATCAAGCTAAAAAGTGTCCATGAACGTGCCAAACCGTAATCGAAAAACTGAGTATAATTTGAAAATAATAAATGGTACCATAATAGTATATAGGTCAAAATAAAGCTTATAATAAGAGGAATATAGATATGAAAAATCTAGTTACTTGATAATTATACAATAAGAATATATAATATTAGTCCATTAATAGTTCTCAGAAGTTACCCGTAATTTAATCTTCACTAGGATATAACACCTAGTTCATGGAGTTTCCTTCCTAGACTACAAATAGTGGTGTGTGAAACTCCTAAAATAAATGATCTAGACGTGCAAACCTTGGTAGTATACTCTTCCAAGACGTAAATACATAAAACCGCATCAGTCGGAGATTTTGTACACAGCTTAGACTCCTAGCTTTTAGCTTAACTGAAACAATCTTCCGTTTAATCTTCGCTTTCAATGGAATGTGGCGTCTTCTAAAATTCTAAGTTTTATCCAGTTTCCAAAAACTAAATAACAGATTTTTTGTTTCTCTGATCTTAGAATCACCTCAGGGATTCTCCATGTCCATAGATCAACATTCGTATTAGTTGTCGTGCCAATCCATTTTAACTTCCTAATATACGCTCTTAATAAATTACCCAGCTTAGTGCGGTGAAAAAACAGTAAGACTTTGACTAAATCACACTCGTGTCTGATTTTTGGACAAGAGCCTTCAGTTTTCTGAAATTCACGTGCAGTAATATTCTATACGATTTGATTACTATCCTCTAGATCTCTAACTTGACTTACTAAGGAAATATTTGAGGATTATTTGACTGATTAAATGAACCTATTAACATTTCTTTTTACCTAGAGCAACGAGGTTACTATGGGAACAACCTATTTTTCTATCTCCCTCGATAAATTACCACTCCACTACAATTCCTGCCTTTGTATCATGAATTTTTGTGTCAGTTACAGTTATATTCGTTTCATTAACCGGAATAACTAAGAAATTTCATTATATCTTAGATTGATCTGTTTTCACATAGATGTTCATAGTTCACATGCCTTATGGGACAATTCTGTTATTTTGTGGTCATATTTCTCACTTTAATCTCTGTAAGTGCATCAAAAACTAATTAATGATTTATAGACAATTCAGTCTACATGTCAAGTATAACATACTCTTGTTAAATTACATATTCAGTTTTCAATATTAGTTATTATCCATTTATCAACTATAACAAACTTCAATATCACAAAACCTAAGAGACAATCTTTAGCAGAAGTTAACTTATATTTTGCTTAATTCTCTTAATATGTAAAAAGAAATTATTCAAACATATCCATGAATATAACTTGTTACGTTGTTAAAATATATATGGATGGTGGCTAACAGTAGAATCCAGGACACGAGTTTTGTTTTATTTTGGGACTCGTCAGTTCGATGTACCTGCATCCCAGAGATAATGTTCACTACGGGACACAAACCCAATACCATTCGCTTCAAATGCCATCGCGTTATCATCACCAACTCTGAAATTCAGGTATATCCAACTGACGAGTCCCAAACAGGATGAAACGCGTGTCTTCAATTCCATCGCTGACCATCATTCATCCTTGCCTATAATGCTTATGACTCAAGGCAATATAGAAGCCATCCGTTCAGGATGTACATACACCAATAAGATACTGACCAATTACAGTACTAAACATAAATGGGTAGATTCAAGCAAAGAATGCCAAGTGAATTCAAATATACAATTGTTTCGAAATAGAATTTATCATTTTCCAAACAATGCATTATAATTTACAGCATTATTAATTAAAAAAACGGTAAATTCATATATATATATATATATATATATATATATATATATATATATATATATATATATATATATATATATATTCATGAACAAACTTAAATGTAATAGTTAAATTCGTGAGTCTATTAAAGCTAGACCACTTGAAGCACTGTTGTGCGACAGTCACTCACTGAAGAAAATGATGGACGGTGGCTCAATTTGTGGATTGGTTGAAGTTAGACATTAACATCGTTGAATGTCAGCTCACTGGTCTAGAGACTAAGCGTTCGTGCGCGACATCGATAGGTCCTGGATTCGGATTTCGCGAATTGGCCTCGTGGATGCGCACTATTGAGGAGTACCATGCTAGGACGAAACAGCCATTCAGTTTTCCAGGTTTTCCGAGGTGGCGTAGTTACATCCTTTTAGTTGGTTAGAAACTATGGCGACTTTTTTTCAAAAGTTTTAACGTTTACAAATAGTTCTTGTACAAAAAACGTTCTCACCATGAAATGAGTGTGAACTTATCCATAATGTTTTAAAATGTATTAAGATGGTCATAAACAATATTTCGCTTATTTTTTCGTTCATTTTGTTAGGAGAGTGTTGAGTATTACAATTAAACTCTCAACACATGTTTCATTTTAGGCCTCAACATCTTACTTACATATTTTCTTCATCAGTCATGTTAAACTGTCATACACTGAATGTGTCCATAACAGATAGCTTGAAGGCAACTCCATCTATGTGAAACTTCTTATTGTTGTCATTAAATCTAATACGATCAGAAATTTACAAACCATGGGTTTATCTAGTTACTATCATTCCATCAAAAAATTCCCATGAAAAGTTTACGTTTTGAATATCATACTTTCCTTTTAACCAATTCAGATACGCTCCAAAACATATTTAAAAGGTAAAGAATATAATTGGAACAAAGTACATTAGAATATTTCCCGTTATTATCTTCCATAAGGCCTTTTTTATCCAGAACCTTGAACAAAATTAGTAGCAATGATCACGTTCAATCTGTTTATAAGTAACCAGGTAACCTATAAGTATTTTATGTAAGGAAAGTGTTATAGTGAACGAGAACACAAGTGGGGACAATCGAATATATTTGAACACACAAATTACAGAACATCTTAGTAAAATATGAGAGCCATACAGTGAATACTTCATTTGCAAAATGTCAATCAATTGTCTCAGACTTGATTGTTCCTTCGTTTCCACACCAATCACTCTCTTCACTAGTTCTCTTTTGTTTCATCTTCTTAACCTTCTGCCACCTGACATTTCACTTTCGATTGATGACACATCCTACTTATATCTGTCGATATCAGTAGTACACATCACAATATTATTATAGTGTTATTTTAAACGACTCTGTACCAAGACAACTTCTAAATCAAAATAGAAATGATTCATTATTAAAGACAGCTTTATTTCAATAAGTTTTAATACATGAAATCTTGAATGTTGAAATTCAATAAAACTCATGACTATATCTTTCAAATTCAGTAGCACATTTCTTCTATAAATCATTCATTTCATTGATAATTCCCGTATGATATCAATATGATATTCAGTGAATGTGATCTTTTACTACTTATTAATTGTATTGATTCAGTAATAACATTGATTCAATGTAACATACGTCTGTTTAACTTCAGTGTAAAAAAACTCAGTTGTATTTCCATTATTCCGATTATGTATCATATATGTTGACTAAGTATCAAATAACATTAAGATCTAATACACATTAACGAGTGTATCTGATGTTGTGTCGGATGTTATGAATAAAAGATTCATTTAAATTCACTTGGTGTTGTTTAACTTATATCTTTCCATTGTTATTTAGGACTGCAAATGATCAATCTCATGTTGGTATATGTGCATCTTGTACGGATTGCCTTGATATAGCCATTAGTCACATGATTTTTAAGCAAAGATGGATAGTGGCTAGCAGTGAAATCCAGGACGCGCGTTCCGTCTTATTTGGGACTCGTCAGTTGGATGTACCTGCAGCTGACGAGTTTCAGCTCGGACGAAACACGCGTTCTGGATCCCACTGCTAGCCCTTATGCATCTTTACCTAAAAAGATTCATTTGCTGTCAGTTATTTCTCTCTTGTCTTTTTTTCTCTGCGTATTGTATAAATCAGCACCTTTTTAAATTATCGGTTACACGATTATAAAAATTACAATACAAAACTAGTGCATATGTAATG